GTGGCCCTGAGGCGCAGAATTCTCACTGAAATGGAACCAGAGGTACTTATCTCAAAGGCACCTCTCCCAGAAGTTCAGAAGGATAGTGAAGGTTTACAACTGCAGGTAGGGGTTATAAGAACTACAGCCATCTGAGCCTGGTACAACTCTTGACCTCATGAAGTTTAGTTGAGAGAGATGGGCCAACAGACAGAGACTTAACAGTTCCAAAAAGGCCCTCACAGAGGGAGGAGCCCCAAGAGCACTCAAAAGGAGGGTCCTCAGAAGTAATTGTTACAAATGAGTTCAATAAACCACTCCGTTCATGTCCGGATACTAATTCTTGGTTGATTGTGCTTGCTGGAAGCACATTGAAGAATTAAAGAGATTTTGCTAAATAACAGCCTGCTGCTTTTGAAGTGTGAAACACAGCTTGTGAAAGTTGCTAAATGCTTGAAAAATGTTAATCTGGCTGCTGCTGCTTCTGGTGTGAGGGTAGAAACAAAGGATTGTGGGAGAATGAAAATCTTGATCAAGCTGCTCCCCAGGCCACCTGCACTATCAATTTCACTCAGAGGTCTGCAACAAGTTGAAAAAAGGGGCAGAGCTTCCTCTAGCTGGTACTAATTCTTTCAGTAGCGATAGTTGTGATGTCAACAAAGATGTCTACCAGTCTTCACCCCAGCCCAGATACTACAGCTGTGTTGCTAATCTCTCCTGAGGTCAACTATATCCTCTTCTATTTCTTGTTGTTGCTAGTTGCAAAGTCGTGCCCTACCCATCGCGACCCCATGGACAACACTCATCCAGGCCTTCCTGTCCTCCACCATCCCCCGGAGTCCACCCAAGCTCATACCAACCACTTCAGTGACTCCATCTAGCCACCTCATTCTCTGCCATCCCCTTCTTCTTTTGTCATCTATTGTTCCCAGCATTAAGCTCTTCTCTAGGAAGTCCTTACTTCTCATTAGGTGGCCAAAGTATTTGAGTTTCATCTTCAGTATCTGGCTTTCTAAAGAACAGTCAGGGTTGATCTCCTCTAGGATTGACTGGTTTGATTGCCTTGCAGTCCAAGGGACTCGCAGGAGTCTTCTCCAGCACCACAATTCAAAGGCCTCAATCCTTTGGCTCTCAGTCTTCCTTATGGTCCAGCTTTCACATCCATACATTGCAACTGGGAAAACCATAGCCTTGGCTGTATGCACTTTTGTTGGCCGGGTGATGTCTCTGCTTTTTAGTATACTGTCTAGATTTGCCATAGCTTTCCTCCCCAGAAGCAAGCGTCTTTTGATTTCTTGGCTGCAGTCCCTGTCTGCAGTGATCTTGGAGCCCAGGAAAACAAAATCTGTAGAACTCCAAATTAGCAATAACCATTTATTAAAATTTGGATGTAGACCTTGGACATACCCTAGAACAAAGATTACTAACTTTCTAGGCAGTGGGAGAAGTATTTTGTCTTCCTCCCACAACCAACCAATGGCTGACTACTCTTATATGTTCATGACAAGACCCAAAGGTAACTGGATACTCCCAGCCACCTCAAATGTACCTCTTCACCTATCACTCACTGTCTGTTCCTGCAATAGTTTTCGCTATCTTTCAGCAAAGGTTCTCTTCGTTTGCCTTATTTCCTTTAGTGGTGAAGTAGACACTAGATCAGTTTACTAAAGGAGACTTCAAGAGTGCCAAATCAGAAAATTCAATTGTAAGGTACCTGAGGTGGAACAGAACAATGTGCTATCTGCCAAGTAGTAACGGTGGGTAGTACCCCAAGGTGGGTACAGTGATGCACTACATAGCTGCTCATGTAAATCTGAATGCATGGTTGAGAGTGTGTGCAACATGAACCTCCTCTGGAAGGTTCTGTACTACTAAATAAAGCAGAACACACACTCAGGAATGAGAAAAGAAATGACCTAATCAAACAACTATGTTGAAATACACCTGCCTGGTGTTTGATGAGATATTGCTTAAATACCATGGAGAGAAAAGGGGAGAGTCCATCCGTGGTCGGAAAATTGATTTAACAGTCTGCTCTAATGATATCTGGAACCAGCATGTCTCATGTTTGAAAAAATACTGCAGATCACTGTTCTAGGGTATGGAATAACCAAAAATGAATGGAGGACAGGGGTTCATATCAGTATCTACCAATCTTGGTGCTGACTCCAAGAATCCATAAAGTGTGGACAAATTCAAATAACCGGGGCAGATGCTGTCCAATGACCCCCAAGTGATTATGCCTACTCTATAACTAAAACAACAGACTGGTAATGAACAGCTAAACAGAGATGTCATGACTAGGACACCTTAGAGGACTTTCATTCATAGGGTCGCTGTAAGCTGGAGACAACTTGGCATTACGTAACAACTTTGAACTAATAAACTAGTAGTATTCCTTTACACAGAGTATGTATTACTCAACTAGGCAAAGTCAGCAATTCATTTGCTGGAAGACTGTCAAAGCTCATAAAACTCAGACACCTATCCCTTTCTTCTAATCCACATGGGAACAAATGATACCACCAAATGGAGCTACAAAGAAATCACATCAGATTTTGATGTTCTGGGGAAAAAAGTGACAAACACTGGGGTGTAAATATTGTTCTCATCCATCCTTCCATTTCTTAGAAGAGAAATTAAAAAAAAAAACAAGAAAATATTCCAGATGAACTGGCTACAAAGGTGAGAGATTTGGATTCTGGAACCAGACTATGCAACCTTATAGATGGACTCCTGGCAAGGGGCAGGTTGCACCTTGCCAGAGCTGGAAAGAATGTTTGGCCACAGTGTATCATCAGGACGACTATAAACTGAATTTTACCAACAACAGACAATAATTTAGTGACAACACTGGATGAGAGAGAAAAGCTCCAACAGTTTTCCAAATGAGTCTTCTCAATAATGTAAAAAAGCCAGATCATAAAACACATGGGCTTCAGTTTCTAATGCCCAGAGTATGGAAAATAGAATGAACTTGAACTCTTAATACAACAAAAATGTCCATAAAAGTGAACAAAATGGAAAAGGGTGAAATTCAGCCAAACCTGCCCCACCCTTCCGAACTGGGAATTATCCATTCCTTGCACTGAAAAAATCAAACTCCACAATACTATACCACTATAGCACAGTAAGTCAAAATGGGTAAAACCAAAAAAATCACAAGCCTCTTCACTTTACCAGGAAGTACACTTCTATAGAAATGAACTGTTTCCTCAGATCGATCTTGCTGTTAAAGGCACCCTTTATCCATTATATTCCAATGAATTAGAATGCAAGAGATCCAATGTTATCAATTGTCATAGAGTTATTTCCTAACATATAATCTTTCTGGTCACTGCTTTTTCATGCTTAGCTCTATTACACTTATTTCTTGAAGCAGAAGTTCTAGAAGTCAACTGTGAATATACATCTGTTATAACCTGTACCTTAATTTTATGAAATGTTCCTTGGCGCTAGACATTTAATGAAGAAGAAAAATAATCTCCTGATCTTGTTTTCCAAGTAGTTCACAATTGTATATGCATCTTTATTTTATAAAGACCTGTTTTTTTTTCAGTGTTTTCTTCAATCTTCTATTCTTTTGTGTGCCACTTTTGGTGTCATTTCCATCATTACTATTTGATGGTAGGAAGCACAGGATGGACAAATCAGCATTAAACTGACATGCATACACATCACTACTACATGCTATACAATTTTAAGCAAAACCTATTTCTTTTTGCCTTGACTTAGTTTTTAATTAGTAAATCAATACAGAACTTGTCTACTTAATTCTAAACCACTGAAATCTCTTATTAATCATCCCAGAGTACAGGACACAGAATAAAGGGCTTAAGCTACAGGAGGCCAGATTGGATGTCAAGAAAAACTTCCTGTTAGAGCAGAAAGGCAGCTGAACCAATGACCTAGGAATGTGGTAAGCGCTCCCACACATGAGGCATTCAAGAGTTGGGCAGTTGGTCCTGGATGCTTTAACTGGAGTCCTGCATTGAGCAGGGGTTTGGACTTGATGGCTTTTTATGTCCCTTCCAACTTTACTAGTCTATGGAATAATCTCTGAACACTGCCAGTAATGCTTAAAGAATGTTTTGTTTCTTTAAATCTATTAAAAAAACTAGGAACCTTAATCAAGCTGAAAGTTTTTCATCATCTTTAAAATGTATGAAACTCCACAATACTGAATGCAAGGAAAAGCAAAACTTGCAATTACAAGTGATGGCATCACATTACAGCATATGGTGACATAAGTCAGTCATTCCTAAATAAATCTAATAAACTATTAGTCTGCTAAATTAACTGTGGAATCTAGCACTTTCTCACCCTCTATTTCCAGATATTTGCACATACAGAATTTTGACTATGTATTCTGTTTGAATATAAACTTAGGACCTAAATTTCTGCATAAAAAGTGCTGCGATCCATGTAATTCTTAACTAATTCTAATATGGTGAAGATACTTACCTACCTACCTTTTCATATTATGACACATAAAGAATTTATGTTCCCTGATTAAGCACTCCTAATGTATTTGAATAACTATATATAACCTATATATCCGGCACCCCAAAACATTTGTTGAGTACTTTGCCTGCAGGGCAAGGGCTTCTTCTCAGTTCTTCGATAAACATCGCACAATTTAAAGTCCACCAGAATTTATCTTCTTGTCCAGTGCAGTATCTTTTAATTACTGCAAACTTATTTCTTTAGCTTCATCAGGCCAAAGGCAAGATCCTATCAACCTTGAATATGTGAATTGCTTGATATCCTGGGTATTCCCACGCACACCATTTTTCCAAAGCCTGATAGTGTACGCTGATCTTCTTGTACCCTGGCTGAACTTCTGAGAAAGAGCCTGATTCTCTTTTCTTCCTTCCCACGGCGATATTTAGCTTCCACTTTTTTCCAGTGAATCCAACGCTTTGCCTTTTCTGGATTAGCAGTGATTACCAACGCTCAACAACAATATGAAAGCGATCTCTTAATACTACACCGACTTGCACCGCTGTCTTCGTACTCACGAGTTAGTGTGAAGATACTCGAAGGTCAGCTGAGCACGCTGCAGGCTGCTGTAGTTTTTGAACGCCATGCTGAGACTCCTAGGCGAAGCCCCGCCCTTCCCCCAACCCCTGCAGAACAGTCGAGAACGCGCGCCCCCCCCCCCCCCCCCCGCTCCTTTCAAAACGAATGTTCTAGAACCGTGGCTATTGTCAGGCGGCCTCCCACCACCACCTCTCGTGGTTCTCTTCACGCGAGGTCGCTCATGGGGGCGCGACTCGCCCTACGTGCGTGCTCTCTTCCACAGCGTCGCCACGGGTCTTCTCAACCAGGCCCCCCCACCCAGGCCCCCCACCCAACCCCCTTCTCCCCGATTCCTCGCCCGTCGCCCGTTCTCTCTCTGGGGGTGTAGTTGGTTTTTTCTCCTCTGAGGCGATTGCAGCGCTACGTTTGTTCTTGCGGCGACGAAATAGTTCCGCGCTCGCCCTCCCAAGCGTGTAGCTCCCTTCTCTCCCTCAGACAAACCGCACTGAGAAGAAGGCGGAGCCAGGCTCGACTCCGCTTCCCGACGATTGGGCAAAGCCGTGCCACCTGACCCACGCAACATGGCGCCCTAACAGAAAAAGCACTGTCGTCCTCCCCGCAGACGCGTGAGAGGAAAGCGGCCGCCCTACCCCCACCTTGCCTGCAGACCGTTGAGGCCCCGAGGGGGAGGGGCAGTGACAGTTGGCGCATGCGCACCGCGCTCTGCACACTTGGCGCGGCGCTTCGCCTGCTCGCCGGAATCTTCCGTTGCGCCCTTTTTTCCTCCGCCTGGCTCGAGCCTCTCGGTCGCTCGTACCGTCCGTTGCCCGGCGTGGTCTGGCGACCGGAGCGCGCGCTCTGGGGGACCCCGCCCTCTTGGTGGTTGTGCCTGAAGAAGCCATTTTCCTCACAGCTGTCGCTGTCCGCGCCGAAGAAGACGCGCCTCAAAATGGCGGCTGGATGCTCTTGTTATTCGCGGCGCGTCCCCTTGTCGGCGTGACTTATCCGCCGCCGCAGTCCGCCGATCTTCCCAGGAGGATGGGCTCGTGGGTTCATTCGTCCGGGTGTGTTTCGCTTGCATGAGGAATAGTCTTGTGGAAATGCGGCTTGTTTAACGTTTATGAACGATGAGGGGTTTTCTAGTTAGCCTTCCCGTTTTCATTTCTTAGTGTGCTTTTCCTCCCGTGTGCTCTGAAGATCAGAAGATTAGGGGGAATGTTATCGTTGAATTTTACGTGCGGTTAAACTACGGGGGTTTCTCTCCGCGTTGCTTTCTAGTCCTAGTTTTTTCCCCCGAGGAGGCCATTTCTCGACAGCGAGAAGGGATGAATTGTTCTACTCTTGTTCTCTTGCTTTCCAAGGAGAAATGTTATTAATTAAATTGTTATACTGCCCGTAGCCAAAGCTCTTGTTACCTTTAGCTACTAAGAGTAGCTTGCTTTCTTGCACTAAAATGAGTTACCTTTGGATCTGTCACATTTGGTGATTACACTGTAGGGATTAGGTCTCTATATGTTGGAAAGTAGCAAACGTATACAATACGACAAATTTGTAAACTTTCCCCTTGCAAATAAGAGGAAAACCCCTTTCAGTCGGGCTTTTTAATTGCTAATCAGCACTGGAGTGCTGGAGTAAAGCAATTGTTCTCTGGACGTCTTTATGATGCATCTTCTTGCTGTGCTTCTGTGTACACAGACACAACTCTCTTTACTTTGTTTCTTTAGTAAAAAGCTGCAATTTTCCCATGAATTTGTATGGTCCAACAGCGATGGTGCTGAAGCATGGGCAGCAGGTTAAAAACAAGAGGTCAACATCCTTTTATGTAGATGTAAGTTCAACTATTCAGGATAAGTGGCTGTGCTCCATTTTCCACATCTTGGCATTTTGTAAATCCTGTGATTTGTGCTCTTGTTTAATTGAGTCTTTACATTATCCAAAAGCTCTTGCTGACCAAGCAGGAGGAACAATGAGGAAATTTTTGGTTTCTCTGCCCTTTTTCTATTCCCTCCCCCCCCCACCTAGCAGAGTTACACTTATCCTGCAGTTCTTTTAGATATCTTTAAACCAGTTTTGTGACTTTAAGGCTACCATCACAGTTCTTTCCAAGAGGTGGGGAGGGAGTATACAGTTGAAGTTTTGTTTTGTTTTTTGTTTTTTGTTTTTGTTTTGTTTTTGAGGAGAGGCCTCCTGGTTTTCCCCAAGGACCATAAATTTCCCATCCTGAAGTGCTATGTTGACATATCTGTTCATATTAACTTTATATATTTGTATCTGTAGTATTCAGATTGTGTACATTCTGCAAACATACAACTCATACAGATTCTAAAGCCTGGTATAACATCACAAAGAACTGGAAATGTTTTGAAGAAAAGGTGCTTCTTCCAGAAAATGACACAGCTATCATCTTATTCTTGAAGCCATTGTGGAGTTTTCTTTATTTCTTTAATTCTTCTGGGAAAAGAAATTGGTTTCCTGCTTGAATATGCATAAGAAGATCTCTCAATTCTTTCCTGTGAAATCAATCAACTTTGATACTGTGGAGGGATTACTTTTATTTTTTTAGAGCATTTTGAATGAGCCAGTCCTGAGGAAGAAAGCAGGAAGGATGTTTAAACCTTTGTGCAGGGTTGTTAATAAATGTAACCTAAGAGGCCTTTAAATTAATTATATATGTTAAGTTTTATTTTATCAAAATCACTTTTTATAAACAGTTGATATAGGAATAGTAACCAATATATCATACAGATAGATGAAGACAAGATTTGTCAAACAGATATGTATAGAATCAACGGCACATCTGGCACATCTTCCCTTACTCTTAGCCCTGCAAGAACTGAAATCCAAAAGAAATAAGAGGTTACTGCTTGGAGCATTTTTATGGTCCTTGGCCAAAACAGCTCCCCTAGAAGCTTATATATAATAAATGAAAACAAGACAGTTTCTGCCCACAGCCTTACAATCTAAAAGGCACAACTCACTAGAAAAGAATGATGGAGAAGGTATAAGAAAGGTAATCATTCAGGAGTGCTGGTGAAATGGCCCTTTTTTCCAATTTTTTTCCCCTCTGCTTCAGCCTATTGGAATAGCTGCTGGCAGGACAGTTGTGGGAAGAGCCTGATGGTTAAAAATACTCAGGTACAGAGACTGACTGCTGCTACATATTGTTTGGTGAAATCTCTTAAGCAATTTTGAAGGTGTTTTAGTGATGGCAATGATCACATCTGATTAGATTTTGTGAAACAGTCTGAACATCTCCTAAGAATGAAAGGGTGAAATAAAGATAACTTTGCATCTGCATGGGCACATCTTTAATGTAGAGACTGCTTAGGCTCTTGGTTTCTGCACCAGTATTGTGCTAATGCAGCTTGCAGTTTCTGGACAGGAATTGTGAGCTGGTTCTTGTGTGAGATGAGCCTTACCTTACGTGACTTGTATTCTTTCTGTTTCTGATGGGGAGAACTGAGTCTGGATGATTTTTCCATTTTCTGCTTTGTTATATGTGAACCAGGGTTCCCCTCTGTTCAACACATCAACATAATAAGCAGGGTTGTGGAGTTGGAAGCAATTTTGGGGTTTCTGGAGTCAGAGTTGATAAAAATGTGCTGACTCCAATGCCTAATAAATTTAAACTGTAATATAAATAATATAATTTCCTATTTCATAGATAATAATTTGATAAATCCATTTTAGGTTATATTTTCAGAATATATTTTAATTTTATACGTGAGAGTGATACCCCATGAAAAAATTCATTGTGGCAAAATGTCAACAAACTTGACTGTCTTTGAGCAATTAAAATAACAATAGATGGGAAATAAGATAATTGTGAAAAGGCGTGTTTTGCAAAAGTGTTTGTGGTTCTGATAAAATGCACCTACAAGAGCATCAAACTTAAAAATACACTTGCAACATTGTGTAGGTTGAGTGCTTTCAATCAATACAGCAAATAAATAATCAGTATATTTCCTATATTGATATATAAATAAGGGAGTTGGAGTCGAAGGTAGAATAAATTCAAAGAGTTAGGGTTGGAGTTGAAGGTTTTCTGTATTGACTCTACAGACCTGATAAGCAAGGATTTGTTCTTGGCTTGTTTACTAATTGACCAGTATTTGAATATAACAAGTCATGAGTCAGTAAAATTAAATTTGATCAGAATTCTGAGGAGAGGAGGTGAGGGAGTACATGAATCTGTTCTCTTTTGAATGCATAGTACTGAATTAATGTCTACTATTACAGACAAGCATCACTGTTGGGTCCAGCGGAGGCCAACAAAAATCCAGAGCTTGAAACACTGTCCTGTGAGGAGAGACTGAGGGAACAGGGCACATTCAGCTTTGAGAAGAGAAGACTGAGGAGGAACATGAGATCCCTCTATAAGTACCTTCAAGGCTGTCGCAAGAGGAAGGTCAAGATCTTTTGCTAATGCCAGAATGTAGGACAAGGAATAATCAATTCAAGTTGTGGCAACCCAGATTCAGGCTGGACATCAGAAAAAGCTTCCTCACTGTCAGAGCAATACAACAGTGGAAGCAGCTGCCTAAAGAGGTGGTGGGCTTTCCTACACTAGAGACATTAAAAAAGAAACTGGACAGCCATCTGAGTGGGATGGTGTAACATGGTGTCCTGCAACAGCAGGGGGTTGGACTCGGTGGCCTTCATGGCCCCTTCCAACTCTTCTGAGATAAGAGTAGTTTTGTCCTGCTTACTGTCTAGGGCTGATTTTTGTAATCTGAACTGGGGAGATCAGTTTAGAGCCCGATTCTTCTTAAAAAGTAAATCATCCATGCATAAACTCAGAATTTAAATGCTAGATTGTGGACTTTGGAAAATATGCAAGTGTTGATTTTTTGATACTGTGTGTAATAAAGTGAGAATGTTTCACATTGCAAATGAACTCAAATATGTGATTGTTCTTGTCACACAACACCTGGAATGTTATTTGCACAGGCATTCCTCAAGTGACTAATGCCCAAGTTACGAACTACTCGTACTTACAAATGAACTGCCATAAAGTATATTAATTTTAAAAAATTACTGTGGAAAATCATCATTAACATAGAAGCAAAACAGCAGAGAGGGAGGGCGTCCAAAGCATGCCGTCTTGCCATGTTCAGCTGGAAAGGGAAATCCCTCTGGCATTTCCTTGCTGCAAAGACACTCCATGAAATTCTAAATATAGTAGTTTGTACTAATGTGTTAGCACCATTATTGTTGTTGTTAGTCACAAAGTTGTGTCCTACCCATCACAGCCCCTTGTACGACATTACTCCAGGCTCTCTTGTCC